TCGGAGCTCCGATTGGCCGGCTACAACAGAGCGGCAGGACCTGCAAGCCGCTCACTGCGCAGGCGCGAGTGTTTTCCGCGCCAGCCCGCAGGCCCCACCCCCTGCCTTTTCCACTTCAGCTCGGAGGGGTACAGAACTGTCGTGCGTATGTCTTCTATGCCGTCCTTGCTTTCCGGCTGCTGTTTCTCCACGGCGCTCTCCCTCCCCCTCCCTTCTCTCCTTGGCGGCTCACTTTGCGGCAGTACCGACAGCCCCACCCCCTTTCTCTGCGGAATCACCATGGCGGCTGGGGTAAGTTTGCCGGCTCTGGTGATCCGGGTCGCCCCATCCACCGCCATCCTCTGCCAGAGTGGGGCCAGTAGTCGCCATAGGAGTTCTGGAACTGAGTAATGAACTGATCCAGGATCTACACACTTCACTGTTAGACAGCAGGGCTCCTAGGGCCTGGAAGAGAACTGAAGCTGGGGTTCTCGGAGGCCAGAGGTGGAAGGGTCTGGGCTAGAGGAGAAAAGAGATACCGCATCCAAGCGGTTTGGAGCCTGAAACGGGGGTGCCCGGCTTTATCGCCGTTTTGAGATGTGGAGTCTGAACAAGTGGACGGAACTTGTGCGACCGTTTTGTGTGGCAACGGGAGCAGGGTGAAGAGGAGGGTCTTTGTGGGCAGGTACGGGTTGCATGGTTCAAGATCCTCTCTTGAGGAGTTGTGGGAGCGACAGGAATCTCCCGTGAAATCAGATCAGTTGGACTCCTCTGGCCAGGTTAATAGAGAAGGCAACAGCAGGGAACCCGTTGTGGGACAGGAGCAGAGGGACGGGTATGTGCAAGGAAAAAAAGGCTTTTAGGGAGCGGAGTTGATTTAGGAAGAGGGCATGCCATTGGGTAACTCTTTGGCTGTTCCGAGGGAACTTGTCAACCTCTTGGTCGGTGCATGTGCGCTTTGGCGACATGGGTGATGGTTTTGAAGCGTCGAGCAGCTTGGCAGTAGAGTAGGCAGGCGCTTGGTAACCATCAATGAATGAAGCAAGGGCTCTGGGAAGGGGGAGTGTGTGTGTGCAGGCAGATGGAGTCTGATGGAGCTAGTAGCCTGGATTTCTTGAAGATATTTTGAGGGGAAGAGAAGAATGCTTCTGGACATGTCCTTAGGGAAGGTCAGATCTGTCAACAAGCTTTATTTAGCAGTTGATGTGCAGTTCTGTTTCTGGTATTTCAAGGACTCTTATTACATATGATTGGTACTAAAGAACTTGGTTCAACAGAGGGAGTAAAAGAATGCACTGAACATGGGGATTATTTAGGAAAGTCATGCAGGAGTAGCGGTTAGGACTGGAACCCTTGTACTCATATTAATTTTTTCCTTCCTTTTCTCACATAGACCCTGTACACATACCCTGAAAACTGGAGGGCCTTCAAGGCCCTCATCGCTGCTCAGTACAGTGGGGCTCAGGTCCGCGTGCTTTCCGCACCACCCCACTTCCACTTTGGCCAAACCAACCGCACCCCCGAATTTCTTCGCAAGTTTCCTGCGGGCAAGGTGAGTAGGGAAGTAGAGAGACCAGTAGAGTCTAGAGAACCTAAGGATTCCATTGTTCTGGAAATGGCCTCCATCTTTAAAAGGACCTTCCTGGTTTATTTTCTTTCTTTCATATTTCAGTAATTTTAAGAAAATGTAAATTGAGTTAGTTGTTAAAAATAATACATATCCAGTGACTTATATATTGAGTTGTTAAAAATAATACATATCCAGTGACTTCATAAAATTTACAGGCTTATTTTTTGGGGGAAGGAGAATGAGTTTCAAGCAGGTGTTTTCAGTATAAATATGTCAGGTGTCTTGTTACGAGTATTGTTACCCCAGGGGGTTTACAGAGATAGGTAAAAAACCATGTTAAATATAGAGAACGTCACATGTTGGGGGGTGTCACACCCTGATTTTCAGTGGTATAGACGTAGATGTAATATTTGGCTTCTGGCCATCTGCATATTTGATTGAGGGATTTTATACAAATACAATATCCACATCTTTGGAGTTACTTAGTTCAGATATTGTGATAGCAGAGGATACCAACTTATTAAAGTATTTCTGGTTCTTGAGTTTTAGTATCAAGAATTTGATAACAGGGAACCAGCAGTTAGCGTAATGGCTATGTCGCTGGACTCCCACGTAGTCAACCGTGGTTCGTGTCCCGGACCCGGTGGCTTAAAACTCACGCCGGGCGCGTGTGCGTGCGTACCCAGGATCCTGAGAGGAGAATGGAGAAGGGATTGCGGCGTGACCATCCCCCTTGGGGGGTGATTTCTCGCTTTATGTCTCTATGTCTGTCTCTGTCTGGCAAGTGCACGTGCACTATAGCGAAAACCTCTCCAAAAAAAAAGAAAAAAGAAAAAGAATTTGATAACAAAGGTTATCAGCCTTATGTAAACATTTTTATTCAAAACCATTGAATCCCTGGGTTTGGCTACTGTGCAATCTCTGTGTGTTTTACTTTTATCTTTTTGCTATTTTGTCCCTAGGTCCCAGCATTTGAGGGTGATGATGGATTCTGTGTGTTTGAGAGCAATGCCATTGCCTACTATGGTAATTTGCATGGATATGTGTGAATGGGAGGGTCTGGAGGTGAGGGATGTAGGAGAGGATGAAGGTGAGCTGGAGTGGACAATCAATTCTTCTTGATTGGTGTTGGCATGACCCCAGAGTTCTGACCTTTGTGTTGTGCCTCTGCAGTGAGCAATGAGGAGCTGCGAGGAAGTACTCCAGAGGCAGCAGCCCAGGTGGTGCAGTGGGTGAGCTTTGCTGATGGTGACATAGTGCCCCCAGCCAGTACCTGGGTGTTCCCCACCTTGGGCATCATGCACCATAACAAACAGGTGAGCCTTGGAACTTGGGGACTAGCTA